ACGAATTCCGCATCCGGCTTGTACCGACCACAGTGCTGACGTGAAATATCCTCAGTGGTAGACGGATCATGGGTTAGAGTCCCCTTGCCGTCAGGCTAACCAGGGTAGGTTTTCGTGGTCTTCCTTTCCGTGTAAGGCAAATGCGAATTAGTTCCTTCAAAAAGTCCTTCATGAAGGCAAATTTCTCCCAGTACTTTGATTCAGGAGTTGCCTTGTCTTCTGGATTGGGTTCAAAATTACAAGGCTACGGAGTTGAACATTAGTAGTCGTAAACCCAGAATGAAGTCTGCAGTTCGGGGATGGTAACTTAAAATAAAATAAATCAAACTTTTACGTACAATAGTTGAGTTTACTTCGAAGCGTGGATAAATGGACAACATATCATCTAGACAAATGAGGTACTGTTACCCATTTATTTTTTTGTTGAATCAAATGACAGAAATTAACAAGTGATCAATCTTGCGCGATTAATTATTAATTTATTCATTTGCATATTGAGAGAGACTTAACTGGGTGAGAAAATAAAATCGCTGTTACTTTGATTGTAAGTTTATTATCACTCGAGAAAGGATTGATAAATACTGTCCCACATTTTTAATCAGAACGCTATTTAAAACAGCATGTCATCTGAACTATGTTTATTTTCTTCAGATAATGGGTGCATAAGGTTTTAATTAGTTTTATGAATCGTTGCGGTTGTAAACATGTTTCTCTTCTAACATTTTTTTAAAAAAAATTCTGTTCCTACAATTTTGTCAATAATCTATCAGGAAGTTGAAAAACAATGTTATTTTAATCGATAGTTAAAAGAGTATTCTAGTTTTCTTATCCACGAGGAAATTCAGTAAAATTGTGCGCGTTGGTTACACTTTTTTCTTTTTTTTTTTTAAGAAAAGAGAAAGATCGAATATAAATATAGACAAAAATTTATTTATTTAAAGATTGAAGTTTACTAGAAGGCTCTACTAACACACGTGCCGGTCTTAGCTGATTTTCAAGCGTAAGCAAAATTATTTTTAGCGCCCTTTTCCACTAAGGATAAATAATAAATATGTACGGTGTAAAATAAGTTTTGTTCACAATTTAAAGAAAAAAGTTAAAATCTACAGTTTTTATTGCTTTTTTTTAAAAATAAAAATGTGGTATGAACTGATTTTTTATTTTAAAATCCATCGAAGTGGGCGGTACTGTCAAGATAGGCGTGTTCAGATTGAAGTGGGAGTTTCTGTCGAGGTAGGCATGTCCACATCACGTCCGGGTCACCAATGTGGGGAGTGCAGATACACCAACAATGGCAACGCAGCGCATCCTGTTAAATGCTTTATTTACAAAAATCAATTGTCTTTTTTGGCAAAACATCTACAGATGGGATTTAGAATATCGTCCAGTTTTTTTAATTTTGTCACCCGGAAAATGTTGAAGAAATCAGAATAAATGAAAATCTGATGGTGCAATGGCAGGCAAATATGGTGGATGATTGGAGTACTCCTATCCGTAATTTTTTTCAGGAATTGTTTTACATAGTGCAGTCTTGACTTATCATGTAAAATTCAATGAATAAAGGTAGGAATACTTTACACCATCAGAGTTCCATAAGTTCTAATGGCTATAAAATCTTCAAAATGCCTGCTTTTGATATTTGCTCAAAAATAAACCTGATTTTTATCAATCCGGCACTTAAATTTTGCAGGCTAAATAGCAAAACGTTTCTCTAGTAACGTGTATAGTTCTTCTTCTTAGGCACTACAGCCGGTTACCAGCTAAGGCCGTCTCAGTCAGTTTATCCCATCTAGACCTATTCGACGTAATACTTCTCTATCTATTAACTATCTATTATCAAGTCCTGTAACCACTTCGCTACTCTAACCATCTTGTTCTAGGTCTTCCTCTTTTTCTTTTTCCCTCTGATTTTTGGGAGGTAATTTCTTTTAATAGAATTTTCATCACTTTATCGAAATACATGTCCTAGCTTCTTCATTTGAGAAACCTTGATCATTTTTACTATTCAGGGAAACTATGTTAGGTTCTTTGTATTTTGATTGTCATTCAGAGTTGTGCTGATTATAATTCTCCAGGTTCTGTTTTCTCTCACTGCACCAAAAATTTTTCTTAATATTTTCTTTCTCTCCTAAGTCATCAGTGGCCGTCATCTGCACCTGTAGATCGTAAATTGTCACATGGCAGAATGTCATCAGCACTGATGTAAAGAGATAAAACAAGGAATGCTACACAGTTCATAAGGTTACTTTGTTACCAAATTATTAGATATATTTCAAAATTTTATTTCAGGAAAAAAGAGCATTTCAACTTTCATTCTTTCAACGATCAAGCCCCCCCCCCCAAAAAAGCCTTTAGAGGGTGAATTTTTTTTCCTTCTTTCCTTTGAATCCAGTCTTACCACACCCCAGCATCCCAAAACAGACGCTCGCTTTGCTCATCAGCCGCCTTGATTGATTTTCATACTCATCACGGTATGCTCTTCTTCTTAGAAGTTAATCATTTTCAAAAACTTAAAGATCATTTTTTAAATGAATTATATAATTATTTAAATTTTTTATGCAAGCTGTAACAACATTTTGTTACTTGTAACGGAATAAACAATTGCCTGAATTTTAGCAATAATCAACTGAACCTGAAAAAAATTGTGCGGAATAACAATAAGAAATAAATGGGAAGTAATTACAATGATAACCTTACACAGTGATTGGGAATTACTTAGATAGACGCATTAAAATTCCATTTGTATAAACCCTTACATGCGTGGCAGGAGATGCAAATATTTAAAAGAGATACCTAAAATACTGATTAAGAGCACAAAAAATGTTATTGTTCGATGCCAGCAGGGCCCTAATTTAACCAGGAAATTTTAATAAACATTTGATTTAATGTTAAGAAACCTACATAAAACCCTGTTATTACACATTTAACTCGGATATAATGAAGAACTTTTCCTAAAAATCTCAATTGGTACTTTATTAAAGCTGTCAGAAAAAAAATATTAGACTGTTTGTGGAATTCCCTTCTCTTCCAAAGGATTTAAAAAAAAAAAACTATTAAATTAAGTTCCATTTGTTTAAAAATGGTATTAAGAATTGATGTTGATTGAAAAATTGTATTGAGAATGATTGTATTGAGAAAACCATTGTTTGTAATTCATGCCAAGGCAGAATTCGTATCTCGACTACAGTTGTGGAATTCATTTAACATAAAAATTTCTTACTGTTTCTTGAATTAATTGCACAATTGAAATAATCAAAATAAAACGTTGCTATATAAACCATTGAATCAGTGGCGTACGCAAGGGAGGGGTTTAAACACCCCCCTTGAGCTCAGACAAAATGGCAAAAATAAAAATTTTAGTAGAAATGATGCGAGCTATTATTTTTAAGACTATATATTTTTATCTGCCTTATGCCTACTTTTTTTTTCTCACTGTATTTCTCAGAATACTGAAGAAACATTAACTGTAATAGGGTTGTACTTTTGAAACCAAATTCACGTGATACTGTTACGGACTGGTTCCTTTCTGTCCTACCAGTATAGTTTTCGAGACTGGTTGTCATTCGCGAGGTCTTTACGCGATGATTCTGGAATCCTAGACGTTCTGTCGTCTTTGAGACAATTCGAGAATTTTAGAGATGCTGCGAAAAATTATATAAAAGGGGGGACGGAGTACAGTGGAGTTAGTTAGTCAGACTAAGAGTTATCTCTGCCGCTTGTCTTTCGGAGCTTGCCGCTAAATCTGTTTTGATTTATCTCAAAAAAAAAATTCATTCAATCGCCGAACCGTCCCGCAGTGGACTGATCGTTATGACACGGTTCCCAGCAGATCACCGAAGTCAAGCATCACTGGCTACGGTCAGTGCGCGGGTGGGTGACCACTTGGATCAGCCTGCGTACGGACCGAGGGTGTGCGGTATTGGTCCTCGTTAAACTGTTCTACCGTAAAGTGCTCGACATCGCGTGCAGGTCGTCGGGTTACCTAAGCGGGGGTGCCATCCNCTCGAATTTCTTTTAGTAGTTTCAGAAAATTATGAACACCCCCCTTGAAAAAATTCCGCGTACGCCGCTACATTGAATAAATTCTATACTTTTTAATGCTTTTGCGTCTGCCTGCATGTTACTTATCAAAAGTTTGTAAAATGCAGAATCTAACGATGAGGAAGAAATAATTAATGGACACAGCTCATAAAGAGAGTTTAAGAAAATGAACACAAAAAGCATGTTTAAGAAAATGGGCACAGCTCAAAAAGAGTGTTTAAGAAAATGGGCACAGCTTAGAAAGCATGTTTAAGAAAGTGGACACAGCTCAAAAAAGTGCTTAAGAAAATGAGCACAGCTCAAAAAGCATGTTTAAAAAAATGGACATAGCTCAAAATGAACCTTTTCAATGATATTTAACCCAATTTTAAGTAAACGAGAAATTTCATACTTATTCAAACATCAAGCATAATCGTTATGGAGCAAAGTCCCAGGCGCGATTTTCCAATCCAACATTGTTAAACATTTTTTTTAATGGATTCCTGGCATTGTTTTAGTTCTGTTAACAATTTTGTAAAGAAATAAAAACTGTTATTATAATAGGGAACAACTACAGCCAAAATTAAATTTTTCAAAGAAAAGAGAGCTAGTTGTTAAAGATCGCTGGATTGTAAATGAGAGGCCCGGACACCGGGGTCAGAATTGCTGGTTATATTGCAGATGTTCTTGTTCAGGTGATCTCTTTGTATTCATTCAGAATATTAGACAATAAAGAGGTTTTTTAAAATATAAATTCGCACAGCGACAGTTTAACACCACAATGAAACTGATGTTAAAAACATCGTTAAACTGTAGCTTAATTGATTGTTAATTATGAATTTACAGGATCTCTGACAATCTTGTAACAACACTTTTAAAATCTTACGCTATGCTGCTATCAATAAAATAAAGATTTTTCTCAAGGACTGAAAAAGTTTGCAACTATGAGCTTGCAAAACAAAACATAATAATAAAAAACCTTTTTCAAATCAATATTACTTTAATAACACGGTAAAATGGATGGGGAAAATACAAACATTTTCCAAAGGGGGGGAAATAAAAATATATTTACACTCTATAAGAGAGCAATATGTGAAGTAAAATATATATATATATATATTTCATGTAACAAATGTCCAGCAAAAATATTCATTTTAAACAACCATTAAGTAGGAATGCATTTATCTAAAATACGAGTATAATTCGGCTGTTACAGTTGGCACAGCAATGGAGATGATTAGGGTCATCAGCAAATTCACAGAGTGGTTATCCAGTATTGGAATTCCTGCAATATGCTTTATTCCAGGTCCTGGCTTCTCCACGATTTTACCACTCCGAGGATCCAGCCCTGTTTTAAAGAAGAAAAAAAAACATTTTTAATCTAACAAGTATGATTAGTAATTATGAAAATTACAGATAAACAGATAGGACTTGAAAGGGTGCAATTGTTTTAACAGACAGAGGTAGCCAGAGACGAGCCTAAACTCAGCCACTATTTAATATCTAGGATATTTTGAGGATACAGATTGTATAGTAACTACCACTACAAAAATATAATTCCAATTCACTAATGTATAAGACATGTTTGGACATCATCACACTTTTCAACTATGTTCAAGAGTAATAGTAAACAGTGCGCATGGGTCGTCATTGCATGCGTTGCTATGGCGACCGCAGTTGTTTGATAATTTTTTTTTTTAAAATTCTTTTTCTTTTCACCAGCAGTCATTTTTAATGTATTTACAAAATAATAATTTAAAGTATTTTTTATATTATTTTTATTATTAACGTATAATGACTGTTTTGATGGTGATTTTAATCTAAATATGATTGCTGAAGAAGGAAAAGTATTTTGTGACGTCTTGAAACACGTACATAGGCAGGATTTGAAAACCAATTCGACGACAAACATCAATGGAGACAGTTTTTGCAACCCATGATTTGAAATGTTGTGGGGTTTATCGGAGTCAAACCAGAAAAAAGCATTTGACCAATGGGCAACCAGTGATAGTAATAAAGAGATCACAATTTATTATTATTTTTTAATTGAATTATGAAGTCTTCGTAATTGTTGGATTATTTGTTTTATTTTAGTTCAATGAAATGCTTAATTATTAATTCTTTAAGGATATTGTGTTTTTTTTTTAAAAAATTAAGTTAATTTCTATTCCTACAATTTATTATTAAAAAGCTTAAAGTTAAGACAAAAAGCACAAGGCACACAGGACCAATACTTAGATTTTTAAAATGGAAATTAAAAGAGAAAAAGAAGTAGATGAAATATTTATTTGGATAATTTATATTTTATTTTTATACATGCCAAAAAACAAAAAAAATAAAGATATTGATAGGTGTAAGATAAAGTGTCCTAAAAGTGACTGATGATTTGAAAATTCAATTTTAAAAAAATGGAATAAGAAAGAAATATGAATTTTCTACGTTTTGCTCAGGAAACTAAGTTTTCAGCGAGTTTCAAAATTAGCTACCAAGTTCATCAAAAGATGGTGTTAACGATAAGAAAAACTATAAAAACAACTGAAATATTTGCATTGATGCCTATTAATTTTGTCTTCAGAGTGGGTCACATTGTTTCTAAAAAATTTTGACTATTTTGACAGCATTGTCCCAGTTAGCACTATCTGTTAACAAACTTTGTAACCATTCCTTCAACAGACTGTAACAAACTGTACATTTTTACTTCCTCCCATATTTCTTTGATTGAATTTTTAAATCTTTAGTCATTTCTGGGAGAACAGATAACACTACAAATATTGAAAAGATAATAATAATGAATGCATGGAAACAAAATGATTCAACAACAACTCATTAGAATAGATACAATAAGCCATAAATGTACAGGAGAAGAGATAACAGGACCATTTGCTGGTAGAAAAAATAGATATAACTATCTTAAGTATATATATAAGATATATA